TTTTTCTATGGACTACAGAGAGATAGAGTTTTATATATGAGTCTATGTAAAGAACTAATTGCAAAGAATCCAATGCAAGTGATGGTTTGCCAATCGAAGTTAATCTCCACCTGCAAGACTCATTACAAATTGGGTGAGAATCATCCAAATTTATTGAGATCCCAAAAAAAAAATGTGTTGACTTATTCATAGATGAAAGATAAAAAGAACTCAATTATCTAACTGTAGCTTTGAGACTACTATCATATTGGGCATGCAGTTCTCTAATGTTTTATATTTCATTACAACAACACACATACACATCTGCCATATAGATAAGGAAAATTGTTTAGGACCTACCAACTGATAAGTAACATACATTTTCTTATTATACAATCAAAACTAGGATCCCTACTATTGTGTTAACTTTCTCTATTAACACTACAGTAAAACCTCTATAAATTAATACTCGATAAATTAATAATCTCTATAAATTAATAAATTTCTCCAGTCACAAGTTGAGAACAGTGTAATTTTAGACATATTTCGATAAAATAATAAGAAAATAATTTTTTTGAAAATTCTTTGTAAATATATGGTCCCAATAATATTATAAATTAATAATTAGGTAAAATTTTCAAAATATATGTATATATAGACACATTAGTTTTGTTAGAGTTTATTTCTAATATTTTACTATATCAAAAATTGTTAGCATTGTCTTTCAAGACATAATAATAATTATTTTCTTTGTAATTGATTATATAAAATACTAATTATCATGATTAAATCTCATTTTTAAATATTTTTCTGAAAAAACTTTCAAATTAGGAAAATCTCTCTATAAATTAATAATTATTAATTTATCGATAAATTAATACCTCTATAAATAAATAGATTTTCATGGTCCCAATATTATTAATTTATAGAGGTTTTACTGTATTATGCATCATCAGTGTCAAGCTTCCCCTGATATTAGATACCACTTATTACTGATAAATTTGTCTCTAATTCGGATCAAGTGACCTAATTACAAGAATAACAACTTTTAGCAAGTATATATAGATCATGGTTTTCTACACAATCATGATTGTGAGCTTTTGATAACTTTCATATATTAATCGGAGCCAATCTAACATGTTTTACAAAAAATAATTTTTACCCCAATAGTGTTTACCAATAATATGTCAATATATTTGCTTATTGAAGTATTATAATATTGAACTCAAATACAACAACATATATCACAACCAAACAAACAAGAAGAAAACCATCGTTTCGCTTATGTCGGTCTTTCTCATTCTTTTTCACCTTTTTCCTTGGTACGATGATAAGTTAATAACTAATCCTAAAATTCAGACCATCTGACCAAATTACTAAAACAGAAAAAAACAAGACAATCGTGGTCAGTCCCATACTTCCATATATAACTTGATGGTATATGTAATTAAAGAGAGTATCACATAAGTCTCATATCATATAAATAAAAGAGAATGTCACATAAGTATCATATTGTATCCTTAAACTAGGTTTGGACCCGCGCTACAGCGCGGAGGATACAATTACTTATATATAATATTCAACGGATTTTTAAAAATAATTTATTTAACCTTGTATCAAAAAAAAAATTTAACAGATTAAATTATATTACATTTTAATTTTATTATAGTGCAGTCGATTACAGTGAATCATATATTTGTATATAAGTTTAAATAAAATAATAAAAGAAAAAGCGAGTAAATAATAATATATTGAGTTTTGATACAATTAAAAAAAATGTGAAAATTTAACAGCACGAAAGAATATTTATCGATAAACTGTTCAATTTAACCATTTTTGTAATAGAATAGGAATAGACGTAAAAATTACACACTTATAATATATTTTTTGAAGAACAACCCGTAACATAATTCATATCGTAATAAACATTATTCATAACTCGCTTTACCATTATAATTGTGATTTTAACAAACTACCCGTGAACTATCTAAAATTTACGTAGTTTGATATATAATATTTTATCAATAAAAATCATGTCTCCAAATTTACATCTATGTCTCAAAACAAATATTTTAAATATGCTTATGTAACAATGGTTTTAATATTAGTCATACTTATAATGATTTTAAATCATTGTCCAAAATATTTAACCGAGTGTAATTGAGTATTATATGTCCGTTTTGAAAAATTTAAATTGCAGCATATGCAAAAAAAATTAAATTTTTTTGAAACATTTTTATTATTTAGTATAATATCAGAAACTTTAAAAAAAAAGATCAAATAAAAGAAGAAGAATAATAATTGTTTTTAATATATTATATTAAATTAGTTAGATAAATATTAGGAAATCCTAAAATTAGTTATGGAAATAATATAATCCTAAAATTAAATATGGAAAGTATCCGATGTATGTATCTAAACCCATTTTACTATCCAATTTTGAAGTATACAGTTGTTAAAATTGGGTTAATTTTTTACTCTTGACCCGACTCGCATTCTATTTTGTACTTCTCTTTTACTAATATAGAGATTATCAACTGATACAATGGATAATAAATGCCTAAAGATTAATTTAAAAGACATCATGAGTCTTGCTCTATGAAAAAAGTATTTTTTTTTATAAAAACAGTTTTGTTGTGTTTACTTTAGTAAGTGATCTTTATATACAATCTCCCTCAATCGAGAGGCTCGCTTGCTTCACTTCAACTTCATAGAAGAGGGAAGGAGCTCAAGCGTACTAAATACAGTTTATTATAAATATAAATAATTTTTTATGGGATTTCGTTCTTTATACAAATCTTCTTAACCTCGACACATATTTATCATTATCTGGATAATAATATAACTTAATCTTCTATTTTTTTGCGACTTTAAAGAAATAATAAAATAAATTTAATAAGGAGTTATTTGATTGATTTTAAGTGAAATAATCATTTATGAATGTTTTATATAAATATAATTTTAAAGTCTCATAATAGAAATGATATCAGTTGATACCCAAATTCACATTTGTCGAATTTCCATTATGAGACTTTGAAATTATACTTATATGAGACATTCGTAAAGGATTATTTCACTTAAAATTAATCGATTAACCTCTTATTAAACTTATTATATTATTTCCGTAAAGGCGCAAAAAAATAGAAGATTAAGCTAGATTATTATCATGATAAGTGTATGCGCCGAGATTTAGACGATATGCATAAAGAATGAATCCCATGAACATTGATATTTATAAAAAAAACACTATATTTATTACGCTTTATTGTATTTATAAGATCACTTACGAAAGTAAATACAACAAAATTGTTTTTATACAAAAACAAATTTTATCATACAGCTAGAGGTCTTTTGAAATTTTTTATTACATATTTTATATATTGTACAATTTGATAATTTAAGGATACGAGATAATAATTATGTGAAACTCTCTTAATTACTTATATGATATGATAGATACGGACGAGCTAAATTTTCTCATAATAATAATTTAGTTTTTTCTTTCTCAAATAAATTTTTATCCAATTACTACCGATCAGAACTGAGATGGATCGGTTAATGAAGGATTAGTTGATACCCAAATTCATATTTGTCGCAATTATATTATGACAAATTAAAATTATACTTATATATAAGACATCACTCTATGCGAGTATGCGCTATGCCATTGACATTTGCTGTTTTAATATATTTTTCCAACAAAAAAATTGATTGAATTGTTTTTCCTTAAAAAATAAAAATAAACAAAAAAATTCCTAAAAACATACCCTAACTAATTAAAAATTAAAATTTTCGTAATCTCATTCTCCTAAAATATCTACAACTAGTATTATACCCAGTGCTATGCACCGGAAAATAATATATATTATTTTAAAAAATATATATTTATTTATATATTAAGCAAGTAGAAAAATAGTATCCATATGGGGAATTTTTTTTTTTCATGTATTTGAAGATTTGGTTTTCTTACTTGATATAGAGATAGAATTGTAGCTGAATGCAGAGGAAATTAATTGTCTTCCGCATATTTATATTTGTTTTCTAGGCGTAGACTTCATAATTATGGATCTTATATATATAAAAAAAAACATACACAATACAAATTGTATGAGAAGAGGAAATAAATTAATTATACCTTCTTTTAATAAATGGTACTATGAAAACATCAAATATATTATGTGATGCTCGTAAATATATGCCATTGAATCGTGTACTCATGTGTTGTTCTTCCTAAAACCAAGCAGAGAGTAAAAGTGTCTTAAAGAGTTGCATAAAAATTGAAATATTAGTGGTTACCTTATAATTTCCTTGGCATTTGAGTAAACATATTTTTCTCTTTCGCATCTCTGATGTGGCTCACCTACGTTGATATAGAATAAGATAAAATTAAAAGATCCAATGTATAAGAATCACAGTTACGTACAAAAATGGTTTCTTTCAAAGCATGAACCAAGAATAACTAGAAAAAGGTTATATACGATTCATGTACGTACGTGCTCAAGGAAGAAGACAAATGGGGCAAAACATATATTTCTGAGATTATATGGAAATCTCTGTTCGATATAAAAAAAAGTTTCGAGTTTATGATGAGTTAAATTTGTGAAGGAAGATGAAACAGTTTCTACTATATAGAGATTGTGAAAACGTGGGGATAGTGTGAGAGAAACTTTAGGAACAAAGAAACAAATTATAATTTCTTTAACCAATAAAACAAAACAAAGTTACAGAAAAATATGGAATAAGATAAACTAGCATATTCCCTAAACTCAAAATATATGCGAATAAATAATTTCCTTATTTGTAGCATTCACGGTTTATTAATTCTCTTTGCCTGCAAAGGTGGAATTATTCGTAACAATATAGATTTAGACAATAATCGTGTAAACTTTATTTTTGAATTCACAACAAACTTAAATTACCAACCAAACAAAATTGGCTTTGACCAAGCTTTTGATAGTGTACTCAGAATTCTATTCTTATGCAAAATTTAATTATTGTATATGTTCTACAACTAAAAAAAAAACTATAACAGTGTAATATAATTATTAAACATTAGAATATTACCATAACACTTGAGATCTTCTCATGCTTACAAAAACACAAAACACATAGATGGCTCAACAAAAAGCCAAACAAAAAAAAGAAACACTAAACATCATATTGAAAATGCATTAAAGAGGACATCATACATAACTACCATACGTTCTCATACAGAAGAAACTCATCATACGACCGTCGTCCTTCCCTGAGTTTCATGACCCTTAGTAGTAGTATCATGGGCTTTGGAGGAGATATCATATTGCTTAACATCTTGGGCCTTGTTCTGCACGTGCTGACCCATTTCTTTGCCCTTCTGTCCAGCGTAGCTAACAGCATCAGCCATTCTCCTCTTTGCATACTCCAATTGCTCAGGCACAGTCCTCCTTGTACCACGAAGATAGTTCATCACCCATGAGATGGAGCTTAGCCCAGTTAAACCGAACATTCCCGAGGCTAAGAAGCCTGTCACGGCTAGCCCGATGGTTAGAGCTGCTGGGACTATAACGGGGCTGAAGAGGAGGAATAACGGTAGAGCAACCATTAAGCCGATCACTGAACCGGCTAGAAGTAAACCGGCTAAGGCAAGTAGCGAACCCACGACAGGGACTCCAACCAAAAGGGACAATACCTTTTAAGAGAAAACTATACAAGTTAAAGAAAGTACATATCCAAATATATAAAGTATATGCATATTAGTTATAGATTGAGCCATCTAGACCAACATTGTAAAAATCATATGAACCATGATTAGAAAAGCTATAATTATGCATGTAACCATAATGATCGGACCATTTTAAGAGACGTTTCGAAAGTTATGTTCGATTAACAATTATAAGCATGAGACTCATCGACAAAACCATATGAATCAGACCATTTTTGTGTTATCTATGGAAGATCATATTTAACTTACAATCATAAAAGTAACGATCAAGAAAAGGTAAATATGCATGTAACCATCTAACTCGAACCGTTCATAAATCTTCCACTTTTAGAACATAGTGTCCTTGATCCCTCGAGACTCATTTCATTACTTTTAAACTTCTAATTAAAATGTAAGAAGACGTTACTTGGGTGCTAGATGGGCCACTTTCAGGCATCATGCTCTTGTAACCACTGCCGTAACCGTAACCGCCACCGCCACCTTCATACTGACCTCGGCCGCCTTCATATGGTGACTGAAATTGGAAATGCCTATCGGTGCGATCGACGCGATGTGTATCCGCCATTTCAAGATATTAATGTGAAAATGCTTTTGGTTTCTCTTCTTCTTAATTTGTAATTAAATTAGAAAAGTTTAGAGAAAGCTTTATTTATAGAAGAAGTTGGAGTGATGAGAAGAGGACACCTAAGACGGTGAGATGTTAGAGTAGTAGAGGTGTGGCTTTGCATGATTTCCAAGTTTCAACATTTTTCTTCTTTTTATTTTTATTTTAATTTCGTTTCACGAGATTTCAAAAGATGTTTTCGCTTTCTCCGCTGACACAAGATTAAAGCAAAGACAAAAAAAAAAAAACTAGCCTATGCATGCATGTATATACTTCAGTGCGAAGTCTAGAAAAATATATTAACTTGTAACATACAAAAATTTGAAATAACTTAAAGTGATTAGAACATGTTTTTTAAAAAGATTTATGTAACTAACGAATCCAAAACACATTGGTATCTAAATATATTTACTTTTACATTACATCATTTCTTCAGAAATCCAAAATTCTTGTAGTGACTACTACATTAAAATCTTTCCTTGTTTGAAATGCTTAGCTTGCTTTCTTTGTTTGGGACTTGAGTTCCAGCAATGGTGTTTTTATCGTCAAGTAGGTTTAGAGACATTACAAAACAAAGTGAATATATAATTAGAGATGATTGAGGTTGCAGTAGTTATATTACTTCATTCATATAGCCAACCATGACAATTTTTTCTTTTTTTTTTTGAAAATGAGAATTTAATTGTAAAATGTACTTCAAAAAGACTACTAGTATAGATTCTTTTAAATTATCATATAATAAAAATTAATGAAAATATAAAAATAGTTCTGTATATATTGAGGTTCGAATTTTTTAAAACAAACATATATTACTCAATAAAAAAAATAAATGTTCAACGTCCCACATCTGAAATATTTAGAGAATAAAAAACAACTGAAAATTAAAGCCTTTAACTTAAGAAGGCCCAAGAAAGACCAAACGCGTTTCAAGTAAGAGCGTTACATCATTGATGATCAAATCAAAGCAATTACTTAAAGTGGGATTATTAAATTAATTAAATGTAATAATTTGTGTATAATACAATGTCCCATGGATCAAAAATAAAGGGACTGAGATCATTTTATAAGATCAATACAACTATAATTTTTCTCAGTACGTTTCTACATATATTTTTCAAAATTTTGCTTTTGAATTTTATTTTCCTTTTCTAAATAAAGATATTTTGGACCGAAACCCATACATTATTTAGCCCATTCGTGGAACAACAATACAAATATTAAGTGTGTGAATCAGACATCCACACTCATGGAACTGTGTCTGACTGAGCACAATGATTTTGCTGGTTTTAATTTGTTTGTTAGCTTTGGTTTCAACGTGTGTAAGGATCACAAGTCGAAATTAGCTTCAAGTGGCATCATCGGACAATCGAACATAACCAGTTTCAGTTAGAGGTGCTTCCTATGGTAATCCGAAAAGATTTTGTTTCAATATTATATGAAAATTTTGATGTCAATTCAAGATTTTAATCCATGTTACAATATTATACATTTGATGCTATATTATATATTTTCATCCTAACAACATTTGAATTCAAATAACTATTTATTTTTTTGTTTATGTCAATTCACAATTTTACAAGAAGTATACTCAAAAGTTTAATTTTTGTGTGTGTTAAACTTATGGATTTTAGAAAAAATTAAGTTGGATTTTACAAATTTAATTTGGTGCTAATTAGCTGAACTTATATTTAGAGAATTTAGTAATCTAAAAACCATGATTTCTCTTACACAAAATCAGGTATGCAATTCTCATTTAGTACATATTTAAAGTACATAAATAATTTAAGATAGGAAATTCTTGATGAAATAACCATATGAAGAATGGTCACTTGGTCAAAAGAGAACACCACATATCATAACATATATGTCAAAAGATAGATAGATAACATAATGAAATGGTATAGATTAAAAGTTTCTTTGAAAAGAAAATTGATAGATATATAGTCAAATACATAGATATATTAACTCATATGATATTGAGAAATAATCTTGATCAAAGAAATTTCCTTCATCGGATATTAGTCCAAACATTACATGAGATCCTCCTGAATGTAATTTATTGATTTTCAAAACTCTGTAATATAATTCTCCCATGTAAAATTTTCTGGCATTGGAACATAATATGATGTTGTAGATGCATTGACTAATGGTTCGTTGGTCTGTGTGCCAACATCCATGTTCAAATTCACATCCTCGGTGGTCTTGGAAAGATTATCGTTATTGATTGTGACATACCTTATATAATTTTCGAGGACATTATTATCAGCAAGGTTGGAGTTTTCACCACTTTGATTTTGCACCCGACGCTTTGTAGCGTTCCAGCGGTTCTTAATATTGTTTTCCGTCCTTCCTGGGAGGTGTTGTGAGATACTGTACCACTTGGTACCAACTACCTTGTGTACTGCAACCAATATTTGATTTTCTTCTTCAGTCCAAGCAGTTTTCTGAAATTACAAATGCACATTTTTTAGAATTTTTTTGTAAGTATCACATATCCATATCATTTAGTTACGAACTTTTGAAAGTGTTGTGATATAATTGCTAGTCTTACCACTAACTAAACTATATGAACTATAATATATATAAAACATGTGCGTTGTAAATCGTTACTTTGAAAAACTTAGACATGTATATGAATAAAAAGATTAATCATGATGAAAATATGATTTATACATGTATATATATATATATATATATCACATATATTAATATTTGAAATAAATAAGATTGGAAGATAAAAATAAAATATCACCTTAATGCCAGGACGAAGATGGTTGTGCCACCTCTCTCTGCATTGTTTTCCTGTTCGTCCTTTGAGATTTTTTGCAATTGATGTCCATTTGACGATGCCGTCATATTGCTCCACCATTTGGTTCAATTTCCTATATATTATAAATTATTATAACATCATCAGGAAATAAAATAAAACAAAAGTATACAGTAAAAAATTTAGGAGAATTTCAGTTATTCAATTGAATATTAATTTTAGTTTTTATATTTATGAGAAAGAAAAAATAATGAAGACTTACATATCTTCAGATTTTGCCCATTTTCCTTTGATGATGTTAGTTTCCTTCGAATGATTGCTTGTCTCCACTATTTTTTTATTCTTTTTTTGATGAGTTCTTACCATCTTTTGACCTTCACCCTGATTCATGATATCACTGGTTGTGTTTTTGATATCCTCTGGCACTGGCATATCAAATGACTGAGGTTCACCCATCATTTGATCAAGAGCTGGCACACAAACACTCTTAGTAAACTCAACATTGTGTACATTTTCATCCCATAAAGTACGTCCCTGCAAATCATATATATTTTCAAATATACCCTTAGGATTTGCAGAGATATTGTTGTTGTTGGTTATGTTATTCATAGATTCCTCGTAAGTATCGATATTCAGGAATGAATAATCTGATGGAATTCCATACGAGGGAGAGTTGAAAACCAGATGATTTTGGGTGTTAAGTAAATTTTGATTGAAAGAATCTTGAGTTTGTGGTGGGGTCGATGGTATATGGTTTAGTTGATGATGATTAGAAATATCAATCAGATCTGGTGGAAGATACAATCCGTTAAGAGAAGATTGACCTAAATTTTCATTGTAAAATGGTATATAAGATGCATCATCAATAAAAAGACTTCGGTGGGTTTCATTTAAGATGAAATCTTCACGGGTGGTATTCTGTGAAAAAATCATCTCAACATCACCGAATTCAAACGATGATTATACCAAATTTGAGAAAATAAGACTGAAAAGATTGAATATACTTATGAAAAGAGGTATTAAGACCAAAAAGTTGGAAAATAGATATTGAAAACGATGGGAAAAGTAGACAAACCCCTCAAAAGAATTTATCAGAGTTCTAAGAGAAAGAAGATAACATATAAGTGGTTAAAAGAGTAGAGACTTTAAATATGATTAACTAAAAATAGAAAATGTAAAAAAAGCTACTTTTTGGTCAGATAAAAACAATTTAAAAGTAAAAAATGTATTTAATGCGTAACCGTCCATAGGATGGGATTATGACTGTTAAATATTTAGTCAAAATATATATGTACATAGATGTCTTGCACTTTAATAGATATTATAATGAAGTCAAATATAAAATGATGGGAAAGTAAATTAAAAAACAAAACAAAACAAAACCACATTGTGATTGCTCTATTAGTCTGTCACAATTAAATTTAAAGTGGTGGCAAATTTTGATTTTGTTTATAATTGTAAGACTTTTGATATGAGTAGCCAAACATAGTCAACTAAAGTCCAAAGAGTAAGTTTCATGACCAAAGAAAAAAAATTTGTCTTAGAAATTTTGATATATTATGACACGTGTTAGACATGTAATAATTTCTTTTCCAATGTAATTTTTTACTTGAATTGAATGTAAAGAAACGTTTTAAATAAATGTTGTTTACGCCATGGAACATGTGGCGAACCACACCCTTGGAGATTAATCGTATCTCTGGTCTACCATATCCCGAATTATAAGCCGGCTTCGAACATTCTTGTCAGTGATGCATAACTGAACCCAAAAAGAACTAGTCTTCTCTTCTCATAAAATGCAATTTCAAAAAAATTTCCACGTCAAAAATGTGATTTTTGTTTTTCTGCCAAAAACGTGAATTTATGTTTTTCCTTCAAAAAAATGATGAATTGTTTTCCCGCTAGAAATGAGAGTTTGATTTTTTGTTGTTTAGTCAAAAATGTGATTTTGCGATTTCTAGTAAAAAATGTGATGTCGCGTTTCTTGTAAAAAAAATGGGGTTCCGCATCTCCCCGCAAAAAGATGACAAGTGATAATATGTTTTCCGGCCAAAAACGTGATTTTGCGTTTTTTCGTCAAAAACATTTTTCCCCATTTTTCCTCAAAAAAATATGAGTCCATGTTTTATTTGCAAAACACTAAGAATATAGTGAAGTTAGGAATGTCAATCGGGCTAGCCCGGCCCGGCCCGGCCCGAAACCCGTAAAACCCTCGTATATATGAGCCCGGCCCAGTCCGGCCCGAAAAATTTCCGAGCTTATATTTCAAAGCCCGGCCCGGCCCTAACAGGGCTACAGGGCTTTTTGGGCTTTACTTACCGATAAAAAAAATCACTTTCTAAGTTCATAATAGTTTTTCAAAAACAATATTTCAAGGTCTACTATAAACATAATGCATCAAATTTTAAATAACTTATCAATATTCAATAAAACTAACTTAATTTAAGAGAAAAAAATGAAAACCAAATATATTATTTACACTTTAACCCAATAAAATATGGAACTAAAATACTATAAAGTAGATGATATAGTCAAAAAAATATTAAAATACTTTAAAATACTTTAAAATACTTCAAAATCAAGATACTTATATATATATATATATATATATATATATATATATATATATTATTAGTTTAGTTACGTTG